TCCTCCCCCCCCCCCCATGAGTAGTTACCATGGTGATGGATCTTCAGGTCATTTTATATTTGTGCTGTGTTAAGAACAGAGATCATGCCTTAGAGACTTTAAATGTGCTTTTTATAGGCTTGGGGACTTATATGGATTAGTACTTAGAGGATTTCCTTTATCCCATGTTAGGTGCTTGTGAACATCATCAGTGTTAGTTTTAAATTCCTAAAGTGGGTTTACTTTTTAAAACTGACTTCAAATAAAAGTGGCTATCTTTGTTTATGTGGCATTATGCTGATAATGATATACATGATTATTGTAAATTTTGCTTTATTTTGGTATCGAACTCAGGACCTTGTGCTTTAGAGGCAGGCAGTGGCACCACTGAGCTAAATCCCTGGCCCAATTATTGTAAACGTTATATGTTACTGCTCATTGGGTTTGCTCTTTTTTGAAGGGAGCATTAACATCATGTCCCTTTGTAGCACACACCTGTAATCCCAGCACTTGGGAGGCTGAGGCAGGAGGATTATTGAGAGTTTAAGGCCAGCCTGAATTACATAGTAAGATCCTGCATCAAAAAACAAAAAGAAAAGAAAAGAAAGAAATTTAAAAGAGATGGTAGGTTGTCACCAACCCACTAAACTTCTGCGACACATTGAATATTAACCTGGGCCTACTTAATCAAGAGATCTCCACGGTTGATTATTGTTAGGGAAGCCTGGTGATATATCTATCCTGGACTAGAAAAGGTTTATTAGCCTTTGAAAATAAATACATTGGCTATGTTAAGGGAAGGAAAGTAGGTATTCTGTTAACACGTACTGGTAACAAAGGATATTTCAGCTGTGATAAAAGTGACATCAGAAATTTTTTTAAAAAAATTTTTATTGGTACATTTTGGATATACATAATGTATATCAGAAGTTTTAAAACAACCTTTGTTAAATAGGTTCAAATTTTGAAGTGCAGAACGTTGGACTTTACAAAGTACAGTAAAAATTAGGTCATGAGCCATTCCGATTGTATGGTCCTCTATTTTACTGCTTAAGGTAAAAATGATGCGTAGTAGCCCTTTTGTGCTTGTAAAATGTTTCTGTAGTCAATTTGTGCCTTTGCTGTGTTTCTTAAAAAAAATATATATATATAAATTTACTTATTTTTATACAGGATGTCATTGGCTGTACTCAGGAGATGGATTTCATTCTGTGGCCTCGGAATGATATTGAGAAAATCGTCTGCCTCCTGTTTTCTAGGTGGAAGGAATCTGATGAGCCTTTTAGGCCTGTTCAGGTATTTTATTCTAAAGTAAAATGTTATGAGCCCTTAATAAGTGAAAATTACAATAATAGGAATTATTCCAATTTGAAAAGTTCTTTGGGAATATGCTTAACTAATATCAAAGTTTTATTTCATGAGTCCATCCTATCCTTTTGAATATTGTGGTGTAAGAGAAAGCATTGGGATTATGTAATCTCTTGAGATAGAGGTTATTTTGCTTCTTTGAAATTATAGCCAGGGCCGGGAAGCAGTGGTTCTGCTGCCTGCACGAGGACCCAAGTTGGGTCCCTGGTACCAAAAAAGAAATTACAGCCAGAGGAAATTTTTTAAAGTTAGACATTTGATGTGTAGAAGGCATCTATAGATGAGCTTGAGAAGATGTGATTTTCTAGAATTCAGTTGATAGTACTAAAGATAATCCACAGGCTAAAGACGTAAAAAGTATGTATTTATTTGTTTAATGGATATTGTAACTGACAGGAGTGTGCTAGAGAATACAGGTTGAATAAAAACGGAATGAAAATAAGAATAGAAAAGTCGTGTATAGTTCTCAGAACAACCCACATATCAGTTTTCACTGGTCACTGGAGGCACTTAGAGGCTTCTCCCCCTCCCTGTGCTACCAGACATTGAACCTGGGCCCTTGTACATTGTACATGGTAAACATGTATGCAATCATTGAGTTATGTTCCCAGTCTTTGGTTTTAAGTTTTTAATTCATGATTTCCTATCAGAAAAAAAAAATTAGGTTTCCTTGTCACAGTATGTTTCTGATCATATCATATCCCCACCCCATACTGGGGATGAGCTCAGGATCACACACCTGCCACACAGGCACAGCGCCAGTGAGCTACATCCCAGGCGCTTGTTTTGTGATTTTCTAATACTCTACTTTTCTTCTAGTACTTTGTAATCTCAGTCTTATAATAACTGGGTAGAGGTGCGCCTCCTTTTTCAGAGAAAAACTGGTAGAGGTAAGGTAAATACAGTATTAGGCTCAAAGTCTTTTGCAATTAAGGAATAATCAAAAAAGAAATTGACTAAAACTTAAGCTTTTAACTCACTACCTTGTACTGTGAAAAGTTCCTCATATTAATTATAAATCTTAAATTCTGGCTTACTGTAGTCCAGGAGTTCAAGGCCAACATATGCAGCACAGACCCTGTTTTAAAACACACACACAGAATAAAACCAAATTTTGTAATTTCAGAGTTCAGTTGCAGTAAATAAAAATACAAAACTAGTTTCAAAACAAAAAGCCAGGTGTGGTGGCTCACCCCTGTAATCCCAGCACTTGGGAGGCTGAGGCAGGAGGATTGCTGTGAGTTCGAGGCTATGTAGCTTGGGCTACATAGTTCCAGCTCAGTCTGAACTACACAGTGAGACCCTGTCTCAAAAAAAAACAAAAAACAAACCCTTAAAGAGTTCTAGAGGGAACATTACAGCACCCTTTCCCTTGGGGGGTTCATTGAGAAAGCCTGGGCTAGTGTCTCTTTAAGGATACTGATAGCTGCCTGGAAGAAAGTGTGGCCTACAGTTATGAGAGAGACTTTGAAGGCAATTGACCAACTTGAGTTACAACCAGCCCTTGGGAAGGAATTGAGTTCGTAAGTCAAGGGTCCACTGTAATGTAATGAAATTTTTTGGCTATTTGCTACATATTAGATAATACAGGTATATTTTAGGTGCAGTAGACATTTCAGATAGTGAAACATTTATAGTTACATAAAAATGTTTGTTTTTTAAATTAGGCCAAATTTGAGTTTCATCACGGTGACTATGAAAAACAATTTCTGCATGTACTGAGCCGCAAGGACAAGACTGGAATTGTTGTCAACAACCCTAGCCAGTCAGTGTTTCTCTTCATTGACAGACAGCACTTGCAGGTAAGTTTTTTGAAAACTACTTTAGGGTTCATTCAAAAAACTTACTGGTTAGTAAGTTGTTGTGTAAATAAGATGAATGTTTTTGTTGTTTAGTGCAATATTTTTGAAGTTATTTAAAAAAATAAGCAGAAATCCTAGTCCTTACCCTAGAAGTTCCCAAGATTTGCTGCATAGTAGCACTTCCTGAGGAGCTAATTTTGAAAGTCATATTCAACAGAAAATTATGTCTCACTTAAGCAGCAATGTGGGTATTCTAATTTAGTTTTTATTGTATAAAACATTGTTTATTCTCTGAACTTATTCCATAGAATATGTAACAGCTTTATTACAAGTTATTAACCTTTAAAAAAATAGCATCCTGCTGGGGATTTGGCTGAGTGGTTCTGCCACCTGCCTCACAAGCGGAAGGGCCCAAGTTCGATCACTGGTGCCAAAAAAAAAAAAAAAAAAAAAAAGCATCCTCAGGTGTGGTGGTGCATGCCTGTAATCCTAACACTTTGGGAGGCCAAGGCAGGAGGATCACCATGAGTTTTGAGGCCAGCCTGGAATACATAGGTCAAGGCCAGCCTGAAACATATAATGAGACTCTTACCTCAAAACAAAAAAGTCCTTATTATTCATTCAGCAAATGATTGCCTCCACAATGCCAGACTGTGATAGAGATAGAGAACACTTCCCGTCTTTGTGGGTTCACACTCCAGTATGGGAGACCAGTATTAAGTAAAATACATAGTGATAAGTGCTAAGAAAAAGCAGAACAGAAGAATGTGAACTGGGTGGGCAGTTGAATTCTTAGATGGTGTCACCAGAGGTCTCATTGAGAGGAAAAAGACTTTAAAAGTGTTTATGGTATTCATTAAATTACAATTACATATGTCTATTTAATACATGTAAAACAGAAAAATACAAAGGTGTGTCCCACTCAAGGTGCTGACAAGCTGTTTGGGAAGATATAATTACTTTTCTGCCTTGCAGAGAGTTTTATGAGTTGCTTCTGGGGGGAGGCATTTGATAAAAACATGTAATTTTAACACTTAGTGATAACAATGTAAGTGGGTTTTTTTTTCCGGTTCCTTTTTTAACTTTCTTGTAAATAAGTTGACTCTTATTTTTCCTTTTTATTTGCTTGTGGTCTTTACTGCCTTACAGTGTAATTCACAACACAGATTTTTAGTAATAGAGGACTAATAAACTGGTGTAGAGAAACTAGCTGTCACTGGTGCGGGGGTCAGGGTGTGTATTAGGAATTAGATCCTAGGGCCTTTGCACTGAATTATGTTCTCAGCGCTCTCTTTTGAGGCTTCATTCTTGCCTGGGTAGGGCTTGAACTCGAGATCCTCCTGCCTCAGCCTCCAAGAGGGCTAGAGTTACAGGCATGCACTACCATGCCTGGCTTAGCCTTAATTTTCATGCAAACATACTATGAAATAGTGACACAATTTAAAAATGACCTCAAGGAATTATTTTGTTAGATGAGTAGTAAGTCATCTATTATGTATCAAAGGGGAAAGGTTTTTTATGGGTTAAAGTAGCAAATAACTTGAATCCTTTCAGTTCCAAAGCCAAATTTGGATTGTAGATAGGCTGACATAGTTGTCTTAGTTTGCCTAGAATATCCTGGGTTTGGCACAATTCCAAGTCCTGGAAACACTTCATTCAGTCCCTGACAAACTGAAAGTTAATTACAGGTAAACTCGATCTTCAGTGCTTTTAGTCTCTGTCCATTCAGGTTTTGTTCTTCACCTTCATAAGCTGGAGATGTGTTGCCAAATTTGCATTATATATAAGCTTCAACTTATAGTTTGTAGGGGAATCAGTGATAGTAGTCAGCACATACAGTACATTATATGTCCAGCTCGGTACTCAGAGCTTTACATGTATGAATTCATTTAGGGCTCATATTAATCTAATTTTATAGTTAAGCAAATAAATTAACTTGGTCAAACAAAAATCGCAGGGATGTATGCTTTATGTCCTAAGACAAGTGATGAGGGCTAGGCCAAAGGGTGCTTTAGATGGACAAGTGATGCTGAGATACAGGCCTGGAATCCATTAGTTCTGGTACAGGTGCAGCTGATTGCTAGTGCTGTGATCTTGGACAAGTAACTTTGAGGAGCATGTTCTAGTCAGGTCTTGGTTCAGATTGCATCTCATTTACTGGCAGTAATTATTTGAGAAAACACCTAGCATATAAGTTATCCATAGTTAGATGCTTAAATGGTAACTGCTTTTTAAAAGTAATAGCCAGGAGCTGGAGATTTAGCTCAGTGCTTCCACCACCTGACTCACAAGTGCAAGGACTGGAGTTCAAAAAAAGGTCTGATGGCATGCATCTGTAATAACAGCAGTCAGGAGGCTGAGGCAGGAGGATTGCCTCAAGTTCAAGGCCAGCCAAGGCTATATAGTGAGTTCAAGGACAGCCTGAACTACATAGCAAGACCCTGTCTCAAAACAAAAAAAATCCCTTAAAGTTTAAATTGGTAATATTTGGCATTTTAGTCTATAATTGCAAGATGTGTTTAAATCTTTACCCATCTCTGATCTCCCTAGCTTCTGTCACCACATTTGCTATCTTCCTGACTATAAACATGACTTAAATCTTTACTCAAAACGTCGTCAACCCTAACTTATTTTTAGCAAGTAATTGGTAGTCTTCTCTGACTTTATATATTCTTTTGGTACCCAGGGTAACTTTATATATTCTTTGTGTTTCAATTATAATTTTTACTGTATTTTTCCTGTATCTTAAGCAAGATTGTCTTTCTCACTGTGGGTAATGATTGTAATTTATCCCATCCTTTATATCCTTTACCTACTGTGTTTAGGTTCTTAATAAATTGAGATATTAAGTCAATGTATTAAAGTCTTAAGTCATTAAAAATATTAATTTTACCCCTCCCAGACTCCAAAAAACAAAGCTACAATCTTCAAGTTATGCAGCATCTGCCTCTACCTGCCACAGGAGCAGCTCACCCACTGGGCCGTGGGCACCATAGAGGATCACCTCCGTCCTTACATGCCAGAGTAGTTACTGGCCAGCACATGGAGAAGACCAGAGAATGCAGCAGCAATGTTTTTCTTGTTTTCTTACCACTTTATTCTTTCAGAGTTTTAAGAAAATGGACTCATGCACAGAACACTATGCATTTTGAAACTTGTTCATCCTGGATTTTTTTTTTTTTTTTTAATCATTTGTATCTCAGAACTTAAAAAAATTAGATGTCTTCTGCACGGACTGTGTGAAAGAAGATGCTTTGCATATTTGCTGCACTGCATCAGCATCTTACTAAAAATGTGAAATGAAAGGACTATTGTACACTGAAATGCTTAAATGTATCTGAAAGCACAAGGTGATACTCATTATTGATGGTCTTCCCAATTGTGCTGGTGTTTGCCTCTTTGACATCTGTCATCAGTATTTGGAGGGTGAGAAGTGAATGTAACAGGTATAAATAACATTTTTAAAGCTTAATAGCTTTGCTGTAATCACCGTTGTTCAGAGCACTGTCAGATTCATTCTAATGACCAGAAGCGGTTGTTTAAAAAAGAAATGACAACCATGGGAAAGAAATCTTAGATGACAAAAACATCTCATTGGAGGCATTCTTGCCTCATTTTACTGGGCCTTGTTTGTTTTCTTGGTACATAAATGTATTTTTGTTTTTCCCAGATCTCTTTCCCCAAGTTGCTGTTATAAAGAGTATTCTGCTTAGTGGGTGCATTTATACACATTAAAGCAGATAAGGAGTCTGAAGTAGCTAAAGCAGCTATAAAACAAATACATTCATAGCTGCAGAAACCATAATAGCTAGAGGACTTTACTTTTGGGTTTTTATTTTGTTTTTTGGTGTTAAAAGAAAGATTTTAATTATAAAATAATTCCAGTTAATTGATCTGAAATTCTGGTTATACCATCCTAAAGAAAAAGTTGGGGGTTTTTGATATGGGAAAAGTTCATTAAAGGTTAAATTGTAAAAATAGCCAGTGTCAAAGTTTAAAGCAGGACTGATTTTGTGCAATGAACATAAGGAGAGACTACTGTATAGTTTTTGTTTTGTTCTTTTAAATGAAGAAAATCTTTGCTTAAGGGTTGCATACTTTTATTGGAGTAAATCTGAGTGATCCTACTCCTTTGGAGTAAAACTAGTGCTTACTGGTTTCCAATTGTATTTAGCTTCTGGTTGGAATTTGAAAAAAATGAAAACCTAAATAAAATAGGTGAAAGTTCCCTGACTATTCAGGTGAATACACAAAATTTGAAGTGGTAACTTTTTTATCCAAAGTCACTGAGTAGATGGCAGTTAACCGCTTTAGGGGATTATTTTGTAGCCCATAGCTAAACAGTAAATTCTGAAGGGAAAAAAATCCAGCAGTTGGATTTGTAAATTCAACAAGAATAGGTTCTAATTTCAGGAGGTAGCAGCCTGTGCTTTTGCCTTACATCATAACTCTGTTAGGATCCATTTGAAATAACACTTCTCTAAACTCAATCTAATAACCCTGAGTGGAAATAGATGCAGAGACTTAATTGCTTAAGCGAGGCTTATAAGTTTTGTGCATGCCTATAAGGCTGAGGTAGGAGGATCGTGAGGTTTGAGGCCAGTCTAGGCAATTTAATGAGATCTTGTGTCAAAATAAATATTTTAAAAGGACATGGGGTATAACTCGGGTTCAAACTGCATTTCAGTACCACAAATAGTCTGTTGGCTGGCAGTAGAGCCCAAGTCTTAAGCATTTTACTAAGTTGAATTACATGTACTGTGTTCAGTACGTTAGGCAATTCAGCATCAATTTATTTTGAAATAACTACACAAAGTTGCAAGAGTAATTCAGAAAGTTCTTGTATAACTATGCCCACTTTAGTCTGTCATTTTTTGGACATTCACATTCTTCCTTTGTATATATTTCTGAATCATTGAGTTTCCTCCATATGTTGTAATTCCTTACTCCTTAGGGCTTTTTCGTGAAGTCCAAGGATATGTGCATTGCTGGTCAAGGCATCATCCATAGTAAACTAGAACAATTCAGGACTGTAACATTGATATAACTTACCTTTCATGTTCTAGTTTTAACTCAGTATTTTTTGTAGGGATTGAACTAGGAGTGCTAAGTGAGTGCTCTACTCCTCTGAGTGATGTCCCCAGTTGTCTCCAGTATTCTTGATGCCTTTAAAGATTCCCTAATAGTACAGAATTATTACATTTAGTTGTCACGTCTCAGATGTCTTTTGTCCCTCAGTCTCTCAGGATCTTGACATTTTAGAGGTACAGACCAACTTTTCTGTAAACTTTAATTTGAGTTGTTCATAGTTACTGCCCATTCTCAAGTTATCTAGGAGCCCACTATGTGCTCCTTATTGATAATGATTTGATTGCTGGTCAAAGTGTTCTTTTTTGCACTTTGTACTTATTCCTGGTGATTATGGGAAACAATATACAAATAGGCTACCTCTTTTTCACAAGCTCCAATAATGTTTCTTGCTACTGGACCAAATCTATCTTAAGAGTGGCTGCAAGGGTGATATTCCAGATCCCCTCCACATTTTCCACTATTTTATTGTAACACTGTTTCTGCCACTTTCCACCGAAACACTGTGGACTCAATTTTTTTCCCCTTGATGAATTATTTGCATGCCTTTGTCATTCTTCGAGCACTTCATTATTTTCAGGGATGAGACACCTTGTATTTTTGTGCACCAGCCGCCATCCCTGGAATGTTCTACAGAGCGCTCAGGTTCCTTGAAGTGAGAAATACACTAGAAGTCAAGAGCTGTGTCTCTGCCTAATGCTGCTAGAGAATCTGCACCTGTCATTGGCATGAACAGATAAGCATGCATTCTAAGGCCAGCAAAAGATAACCAACTTACAACTTCACTGATTTGCAAATTTATTTCAAGCTGCTGCTTCCTTTTCAATCATAAAATGTTCATTAAGAGTTGGATGTAGAAGTAAAATATGACAAGTGCCATAGTCCGCAGAACTTTGTGATCTTTGAGAAGTAGACTAATTTGTGAATGTGACCTTTTTAATATAGTAGACTGGGAGTTTCAGAGGGGCTCATAGTATAACCCCTCTAATATAGAAGATGCCAGGCTGAATCTATAATAAACTATCAGAGGAAAAGTATTTGAAATATTTTCTGTATCATGGGATTTGCTTCAAACTAAGCAATTATGGCATGATCTAATTTTTTATAATACATCTCTTGAAATTTGATAATCTAAAGAAAGTGGAAACATGACAAGGCATTTTAGAGCTAGGAAAGACATTAAGAATTGGCCATTGTGGGCCGGGGATTTAGCTCAGTAGTTCGGTGGCCTGCCTTGTTAAGCGCAAGAACCCGAGTTGTTCAGTCCTCGGTACCAAAAAAAAAAAAAAAGAATTGGCCATTGCTATGGTCTCAATATATTTAGTGTTCCCCAAAGTTCTAACCCTAAGGGGATGTTGCTAGGTAGATGGAGTCTTCAGGAGGGACCCAATGCCCTTAGAGCCCTAGCGCTCGATTTCCTCTGCCATGAGAGGATGTGCTATCCTCACTGAGAAGGCACTATCAATGAGCCAGGAAGCAGGCCCTCACTAGACAGTTTTGGAGCCTTGATCTGTGGCTTCTCAGCCTCCAGAAATGTTAAGTTTGTTTATAAACTACCCAGTCTAGATAGTATGTTATAAGAGATCTGGACAGTCTTAAGATAGCTATTAATTTATTTTTCTCTGTTAGCATAATCTTAAGAGTGGCCCTGCTGGCTTTGCTTTACCTGTTAAACACTTAAGAATTATTTTCTTTCAATTATCATGCATTGATTTTAAAAAGACAGTGAAAAAACCAGGCACCCCCACCTTCACTGTGCCCTACTTGGTTCTCTAGTCTTCCCCCGAAGACAATATTCCTTAGCGACTTGTGATTCTGATGATTTATTTTGATGATTTGTTCAAATTTACACTTGATGTTCATTACTGGGTTCCTTTCATCCTGCTGTTTGCTCAGTTTCCCAGGTGTTTTGTGTGTCTGCCTTGTGCAATTAGTTTTCCTGTGGCCTTGTTGGTCACATCCACAGAGGCAAAGGCAAGTGTCTTTCCTTGCTTCAGAATATTTGCTGTAATTATTATTTCTTCTCCTATTTTAGCAGGTGACATGTACCTTGAAAGGAAGCATATTTAAACATAGTTAATGCCAAATACTTTTTTAAAAAGAAAGGTATGACAAATTCATAACAGCTTTCCTATGTATCTTATTTTACTCCCCCAAATAATTTTAATGCAAATTTTCTGAACTATCAAACTTGAATGGCTTATTCTGACAGGGTTCTGTTTTGTCCATTCCTTACCCATAGTTTCTTTTCCTACAAATATGTGATTTTCTTGACTTTTTTTCCCTCAGTTTCCCATTTCATCATTAAGACTAGTAAAAGATTTCCTCTACTCTCATTTTAGGAAGTTTTAGCTTCCTAAGTATCACTTGATGTCTGTCTAGTCATATTTAGACTTACCTCTAAAATGACTAAGAACCGTAAGAAATGAATGAGGCTCTTCAAATCCTAGTGATGAACTTATATACTGCAATTTCTTGGGGGACAATGGATGGTTAGTCTACCCCTGCAGATACCAAAATCCATGCATGTGCGAGTCCTTTAACATGGTGCAGTATTTGTACATAAGCTGTGCAATCCTACAGTATACTTTAAATCATCTCTAGAGTGCTTATAGTATTTAATACATATAAATGCTATGTAAATAGTTAAGAGTATATTAAGAGAATACTGATTGGGAAAAGTCTGTTCATGGAATTTTTTAAGAAGTATTTTCCATGTAAGGGTTGAATCTACAGGTGTAGGACCTATGGATACAGAGTACTGCCTACTTTTTTTTTTTAAGTGGTACTGAGGATTAAACCCAAGGCTTTTGCATGGAGATGCATCAACACCAGCCCCCCCGCCTTTATTTGAGATGGCAGCTTGCTAAGTTGCCCAGGCTGAGCTTGAACTTGCTATCCTCTGCCTCAGCTTCCCAGAGTGCTGGGATTATAAATTTATGCCACCATGCCTGGCTTCTGACTATGTATTTTTGAGAGAGACACTTCCTACCTAGTTATAATCATAAGTTGCCTTTAATTTGGTTACATTAGCTTACTTACAAATAGGACTGGAGGACAAAGACTGTTTAAAATGGTATGTTTTGGGTTTTCTTTTGGTTGGTTAGCTTTTGGTTTTTCCAGCCAAGGTCTCACTACGTAGTTCAGGTTGACGTTAAACTCACTGTGTAGCCCAGGCTGGACTTCAACTTACAGCAATCTCCAGCCTCAGCCTTCCAAGTGCTGGACACACAAGTGTGCTCTACCACACCTGGCTATTTTTAATATATCTGCATTTTATAAAGCAAGGAACCATAAAAGATGAGGTGTATTTTTTCCATTTTCCAAATAAGACCTGTTTGTTGTTGGGAAGTATAAGAAAATTGGACTTTATTGCTGAAAAGACCAGAGGCTGGTCTTGAATTCTTCAGGTACCCCAATTTAAAGAAATGAAAGTGGCAGGTTTATGATTTACCCTAATTTTGTCCTATAAATCAAGAATTTTGGCAAAGGACCATTTGTTTAAACTAAGGGCAGCAAAGTAACCCTTTGCCTTTGTCCTATAGATGAACAAACATTAAATCTCGGGGATCTGGAAACTGACATTTTATCAACAGTATTCTTAACAAATTCTAAAAGGATTTGCTCTTTTGTTCTTTTGGAACCCAAAATTTTAACATAAATTCTGGTCTGTAACAGTTGTCTTTGGTCTGTGTAGTATAGAACTTAATGTGCAGGGATGAAGTAAATTTGGCATCATGTTAAGTGGCAGTACAAAGAATGAAACGAGGTATTCAAGGAATGAAATATTCACTGAGTTCTGAACTACTCACAACCTTTGGGACTATGCTAGCTTCTGTTCCAGTGAATCAATTTTGAAAGCCCAGGCAGCTTTGGTGGTAGCCAACACTTTTGGGATCATATGCAGTACTTTGAAAGGTCAAAACTGTTTAACAAGAAAAATTGTTGAAGATTCTGTTGTGGGAGGGATCTGGATTACTACCTGACACTTGGTTCAGCTTGCTGCAGCAAGATGACAATGCATATATAAAAGGCTTGTCAGTTTTCTTGAATTTTATTTAGACTTTTCTGTAGATGTACTCAACGCAAGCCTCTTAAGACACTTGTCCATGGGGTACTTTTAAGGACTGTGAAACAGTTATAAGTCATGAATTTTTCTTTCCTTCCCAGTATATATAATTAGAAGCTGTCTGCTGTTTTGAATATTTGGGATCATTCATTATCCATTTACTATTGATTCATACTATACAGTGGGTCTTCTGTATTTGTGGATTTTCTCTCCCCTAGTTTAACCAACTGTAGATTGAAAATATTTGAAAAAATAAGATCTTGTCATTTTATAAGTTATACAGTATAACAGCTTTGTTGATCATTTACATTGTTATTAGGTATTATCAGTAACATAGAGATGATTTATGTAGATAGGAGGATATGTTTAGATTATATACAAACAATGCCATTTTATATGAGACTTGAGTATTGGAAAACTTTTGTTATCTGAGAGGAGTCTTGTATCCATTATTCTACAGATACCAAAGGATGTCTTCTTGGAAATTATTTTATGCCTAGGTTTTAAGGCCATGGAGTAGTTAGGGCAAATCTATAGTTATACTTAAGGATAAACAGCTGACTCACGCTTCATTAATATTATAAATGTATTTAGTCTTGGTTGTGTGAAATGAGTTATCAAATGTAAAAAGTTATCTGGGTATCATTTGGATACATACGTTATGTTCATGTCAACACTAACTCCTGGTACTCCTCTTTCCGTGAATAGCAGAGCCATGGTTGATATGGTATCTATTAAGGTGGCTGTCAAACCACCATGGAGAGTGCCATGTTTATTAGTGTGCTCTTCTTCTACTTTCATTTCACAAATCACTTTCTCAGGAGCAGCAGAGACAAGGGTCACCTACACGCAAAAAAAAAAAAAAAATTCATTCTGTGAATGAAAATCCATACAACCATCAGGAGCAATCCAATTAATCTGTTGCCAATGTATGATAGGTATTAACCCTTTTGCAAATTGTTTTTAAAGAAAAAGCACGGGGGGAAAGGATACTAGATTTTGCTAAAATTTCCACTCTTCTGCAATATTCATCCATGTGAGCGAGTTTTCAGCCTTATGTATAGTACCTAGCATCTCATAATGTCTCTTGGCCCCTGTGATCTGTTAATAACCCATGTTTAGGTTTAACTCGGGTGTTTCTTAGTTTATGCATGGTGATTTTTAAAATGACTTAGTAAAATGACAGTTCAAAATGAAAAGCAGATGAGGAGAAATTCAGTAATTCACTGAATTACTAGAGTTAAGCTTAAGCCATAAAACTATTTTAATATAAGTGTAACTTGAATCCAGCAGTTAAATTACTGCTTTTAAAGTCTTTTAAAGTCTATTTATAAAGTATCATAATGAAAAGATACGACATGCAAGATAAAAATGTGGAATGATGAGGCGTCACTTTTCAGAAACATATCCATGGTGGTTTACTTGTTTTTTCCTCACAGATTTGCTTGTAAGCAGATAATGCTCCATGAATATCCCTCTATTAATGAAAGTCTTTTGCTTTTGGAGTCCCTGTTTTCAAACTTCTACTGAAGTCTGTAAAAGCTTCTGCTAAACTAATTTTACTGGGAATTTTCTTGGGGTTCTTTTTCCTATTCATTTTTCTCTTGCCTCTCCTTCAGTTAGGTGTTCACTAAGTAATACGAATTTTTCATCTCTATCATAAATGCACACGGCACTGCAGCATATGCATTTTGCTATGGATGGAAATATCGTATGCTACATAACTATACCACACAACAGGGCAGGGATAAATTCTATTTTGCTGATAAATTCAAAGTGCTTTTTTCCAAGCTCACCCAAAAAGTGATAAAACTGAAATTTGTATCTAGATCCGCCTGCCTGCACATCTCCCTAATCACTAACCTATAAAATCTGTAGATACGTAAAGGCCTTTACAGTTCCTAGCAGGAAGACAGGAGTTTCATAAACCATTTTAGGGGTTTTGCTGGTATTTTTGCTGGAAGAAGTCATGAAGGAAAACAAACATACAAAAAATACTATATCATGTTTTACACAATAGGTAAATCAATGGAAAAAATGTAAGATCTTTTTATAGCAATAAGTTATGTAGCCACAAGATGTCCTCATAAACTGATAGTACACACCACCCAAGAGCAAACTGTAAACTCAGAGCAAACTGTAAACTCATTCAGGCATTTATGTTATTTATATTTTGCAGTACTAGGAACAAGGCCTTATGCGTACTAGGCAAGTACTCTACCAGTGACCTATACTCACGGTCCCATGTGAGTCTAAATTAGGTTCTGGCAATATAAAATGCATGAGATACAATCTCTGTTCAGAGGCTTCAGTCTAAAGAAAAAGTACATTAACTACTGCAGTACAGGAAATTTTTGGAGATAGAATACAGGTTTCCTGAAGTTACACATGAGAAATAAGTCATTTCCTTGTTTCAAGATTTGTAGGCTTTAAAAGTTACATTTTGGGGGAAAGAATTGGTTGGAAGTGCTTCTTGGAAAATGTCACCTGAGTTAGAAGAACAGGCAGGAACCAGGTGAAGATGGGGGAAAGCAGGCAGTTCAAGAAAGGCAAACGTGAGTGCCTCAGAGGTATCAAAGGGAGCTTTTTTTAAGGCATGGTGTGTTTCACAGAGTTCAATTCCCAAAGTCTCACTTGATTATCTAACTTTGGCTAGGATGACAAAAGTTAATATATAATCATTGTTAGATTTTTCTACTGAGTCATGCCCCAGCCTTGTACTGCCAACTGTTGCCTCCCTAAGTAAGGTAAAACAAACCAGTGGTGAGACTTTGCATCCCAAAACAAAATGAATGGAAAGTAACAGTGAATGAATGTCCTATCCAGCCTCCCAGAGAAAAAAGCCTTGTGGGGGCAGAGGCATTGGAGGCCTAACTTCTATCTGATGAAGATAGGGGTGGGGAGAGATAGGGAGAGAACACTGAACAATAATGAAGATCCTGGCTTCAGGTCAATATATGGCTGGAGGGTGCACATTTGTTTATTCAGTTAACAACAATTGTTAGAGGCCATGTTGAGCAATTTACATGCATTGTCACCCTAATCACTAACTTATAAAATCTGTAGATTTGTAAAGGTCTTTTGCAAATGTGCAAAGTACCTCCACCATTTCCATTTTCCAGATGAGAAAACAGCTATGTTTGATTCTTTTCTTTTTTTTTGGTTCCCTGGGATTGAACTCGGGTCCTTGCACTTGCAAGGCAGGCCACCCAACCCGCTGAGCTAAATCCCTGGCCCTATGTTTGATTCTTAATTCTCTGGTTTAGCATCCCTTTCATCTTACCTGGACTGCTGCAGACAACTAGGTCTTGATTTATTAGCTGTCTTCTGGGAAGATGGGTGTGAAGCCTTTCATGTCATGAAGATGGATGTTTACCTGCCATGGCCTAACAAAACAGAGTTGCTCAGTTGTGTTCCATTCCTAAAATTCTACAGGTTGGATGATTGCAGTAGATTGAGCCACTATGGCTTGGCCCCCTCTGACACAAAGGGCTCCTCAGATTGCCTTACATGTACGTACACCATCTATCCTTTCTCTATATGGCCTTCAATATGCTGCCTCTTCCCTTCCATGGATTTTTTTAGTCATACTATCCTAGCACCTTGCCCCCAACTCCTAACATCTAGACTCAAATGCCATAACTAATAGACATACTCCCAGTGATGAACAGTCTCACCTTTCCTTATTTTTCCAGTGAAAACAGTGAGAAAGGCTGCCTAATAACAGCAAGATGGTGTTACTTTATTTTATTTTTGCTGGGGATTGAACCCAGGGCCTTGTGCATGGTAGGTAAGAAGTACTTGGCCACTGAGCTACATTCTCAGCATGAAGCTGCTATTATTCACCATGACATGGTCCTTTATATGAAGGTGTTTGTAGAACTGAGAATTATTTTTATCCTGCATATGAAAGACCACACCAACAGTAGACAAAGAACAGACAATATTGGTAGGTGAGAAATTTGCATGTATTTGTGAAAAAGGCTGTTTTCAAGCAATTTGCCCTGACAGACACTAACACTACAGTGTAATACAGATGTCAGGACTTGTATCTCAGGCCAATGTATGAATGCACCTTCTTATAAGCAGGAAAGGAGGTAAAAAGTGTAAGATAGGATGTAATGATGTGATAGGGTACGAACAGCAACAAAAATAGATGAAAGTTATGTAAAAGGAGCTGTAAAAGGGTATATACTACAAAAGTACTGTGGTTCGTCCATGCTGCTGATAGCAGTCCAACACTGGGATCTGAAATAAATGTCTTAGTGTAATTACACAGATGGCTACAGTTTAATGATTAAGGGTTCTGGTTCTGGAAACAGACTTTGGCAAGATCCCAAACTCAGGTTTCCAGCGATGAAGTGAAGGTAATAATAGTACTGACCTCAGAAAGCTTTGTAAAGATTAGAATAAAATTAGAACAAAGATTAGAATAAAAATCCCATAGTTAGGACCAAGCCTGGTAATCAAAACAATCTGCATTCTTATCAAAACCAACATCAAACATTTTGGTTTGTATAGTTTATCATAGATTTGCTTAAGTTTCTATTGTTAAGGTCATCAGCCAACACTACATCCAACAGACACTTGGCAGCCCTTCCCACCCTGAAGTGACCTCTCACCATGTGGTAATATCCTGAACCTTTCCAGGCCTTCCCCCTCCTTCACACCCCTTTCTCGGGTTTCCCTCTTACCCCACTAGCCACTCCACATTCTCCTTTGGTGGCTCTTATTGAATAGGAGTCTTAGCACCAGCTAACAGTTAGGGTAGCAAGATGACCCAGGTCCACACTTGGCATTTAACTCACTCCGGATATAGCGTAGACATAGACCCCTTAGTAGCTGTAAGACCTTAGCAAAGTTACGCTTCCTTCTTATGTGTAAAGTGGAGGTAATAGTGTCTACTTCACAGGTTGTTTTGAATGTTAAAGAAATGATGTAGAGAAAATAAAGTATTAGTTCAGTGTCTGTCTCACAGTACTCAATAATACTATTTATTACCACAAGTACTAGAACTTCTAAAATGACCTCTGCTGACCTGCTTTCTCATACAATCAGAACTTTCACTCTGCTTCATTTACTTTTTTTTTTCATGTTGCTTGGTTTAAAAGACTTGAACAAACTGAATAACCAAATGCTTTTCTGAAGGCAACTAAGACCTCCTGGATCTTCCAACATCTACTGAATAGCTCACTTCCTTTCTGAGCATAGCTCCGTGTATGTGGGTGTAAAAGCTCCCTAATACTAGTATTTAAGACATATGTAACATAAAGAAACTCCACAGAGATTGGGGACAAGTGGTAAATCTAGCAAGCGAGTCTTCTCATGACTAATTGAAGGTAATTAGATAAAAAGTCTTAGGGAAGTCAGCCCAACTTGTAAAACTATCAAAAATCCTGGGTTCACCACTTTTCTGTCCTATCTCACTATCCAGTCCATCAGCAAATTCTGTTTGTTTGTTTTTTGGTACCGGGGATTGAACTCAGGTCCTTGCGCTTGCAAGGCAGGCCACCGAACCACTGAGCTAAATTCCCGTCCCTCCATCAGCAAATTCTGCCAGCTGTTTCCTCAAACACATCCAGGATCCCAATCATGACTTTTTTTTTTTTTTTTTTTTGTACTGGGGATTGAACTCAGGACCTTGCACTTGAGAGGCAGGTGGCAGGTGCTGAGCTAAATCCCCAGTGCCCCCCCCATCACTTCTTAACTCACTCCGAGTCCACACTGGGCCAAAGCCATGATCATTTCTGTGTTGTTCCAAGTGCTCCCAGTTTACCTCTCTACTTTTGCCCTTGCCCCTTCTGTCTATTCTCAGGATTAACAACACAAGTGGTCCTTTTAAA